TTCTTTCTTTCTTTCTTTCTTTCTTTCTTTCTTTCTTTCTTTCTTTCCTTTTCTTTTTGGTACCAGGTACTCAGGCCCTTCAGCCAAATCCCAGGTCCCCAGATTAATCTTCCTAGAGCATCACGTTATGCACGTCAACCCTAATGTGCTATAAGTTTAAGGTTTAAAACAGTAGGACCTGCAAGTTTCCCTCCAGTCTTATGTAACCTCCTATTGGACCTCACAAAATCATCCTCTCTAAATTTGCCTCCAGGAAGTGTAGAATCATTGTAAAATCTCTTAAATTTGAGGGTAGATGATCATGATGTGAATCCTTATCTCATCTGTAGTATTCAGCAATTAACTCATGCTCCCTCAGTAAGTTGCCTCTTCAATAAGGTTGGAAAATGATTTTCAAAAAATCCTCTTTCTTACACAGCTGCAAAAACAAAATGCAGTTATCTCTACAGAAGGCTTAGCCTTACACTACATGCTAGATAAATGTAAAAATTATATTTACTGAATAATTCAGCTTTCAGTGTACTCCCTTCATCACCATATTTGTGTAAGACTTAGATTTCCTCAAAGTCCAACAAAATACCCCTTTGAATCATGAAATGGTCAAGCCAGTGATCCCCATAATATCTGACTTGTACTTGCCTAGAAATTTGGAATACTTTGTGTTCAGTAATGTATCCATTCCAAAGGCAGGTGCCTAGTTATGGATAGTTATGGGTGCCGAGTAGGCTAAGTGTCTACTTATGGGTCCCCAAAGAGTTTCACTACATTTTTAATGTTTGAAAATGACAGATTTCGAAGTTAGTCGCCCAGAGTCTGTGAGGAGAGTGTAAGATCTGTCATAAGTCAAGTGTTGTCTTGAAGTTTTTGTATAACCGCAGAGACTGAAGTCTGGATGCTGGATATAGCTCTGTTGGTGAGTTGTGGTTGCTAGAAATGTTAATCTGTCTATGTATACTACAGGACTACCAGAATATGACATATCTGCTCTCCTCAGGCAATCTACAAGTCCCACAGAAACCCTAAATATGCTAACATAAAACTTGTAATGACTTTATTTCAACTATCTTTCCATCCATTTTCTTGTTTCACATTGTGTGATGCTCTTGTGAATGAGGATGGTTGAGTTTGTGAAGCAGTAATTTTGTAATAACACAATGAATAGGTTCATTTCCCATAACAACCAGTGGGTTTTTTTTTTTTCACTCTTAGGAAAGACAAGTAAAATGGAATAAAGCAAAGGTTAAACTTTTTGCATGCACTGCCTCAATAAGTCACACATATTAGCAGTAATAAGCACAGGAAATTTAGGAAGAGCTATCATATTTTAGGATATCTGTTATTGAAGAATATCACTAAATTAACCTGGAAAAATATCTAAAGTAAAATAACTACTTCAATCACTATTTCTTATCTGATAAAGTATGTGAGGAGTCTGAATTCATATCCAATCCAGGGGCACATTTAGAGGACTCTGGCCAATATTGTGGCTTTGGTTTTACTGTAAGGGAGTTTGATTGTTTGATAATATTGTTTTAACATTAGACGTACTGATGTAGATCCAAGGCATGCTAATCATTGCTCTTCTGCATGCCCCAACATGAAACTCTGTTTGTAGGATTAAATGGAATATTACACATGAAACAAGGGCTAAAATATCTAGTGCAATGAATAAACCCTAGATAATGCTATTATAAGTAAGAGGTGATACGATTTAACTAACTGGTAAGTAAAATAAATTCTGTCCATCTTGAAAGGGCAAATGGATTATATTTGAGGATATTATATAAAATGCTAGAAGTCAATACACACACAAAGACACACATAATCCTCAAAGATTATATCAGATGACCTAAATATTTTTATACAAAGCCAAACATTCTCAAGTCACCTTCTATAATTACTTGAAATACCTATCATCTAAAAACGTGTGATTTGCAGAAACAAATCACAGCTAATATGTAGCTGATGTAGTTAAAACTATTTATGTATCAATGTCAGAGAAAACACCTTATATATCAACAAAGTATCAGTGAAGAAAAATTAAATATAAAAGTATTTGTCTCCTTAAATCTTTTAATTTTATACCCTGAATCCACATTTTATTTCACTTCTCTCAAGCCACATTGACATTTAATATACCTATTTTCATGTATTTGCATTAGAGTACCATAAATCTCTATATATTGAAAATATAAATAAAAATCACATGGAGCCATTCAAGAAATTCCTATCCCAGTTATCCTCCTTTAAACAAATTGAAGTATTTCAATTCAATAATATGTCTCAATTCATATATTTCTGTCATCTGCACTGATAAGACAGCTCTTGAACCATCCCCCCAAGCCCTCAAGACAATATCAACAGAAATATCAAAGATGACAAAGTCTTTAATAGAATGTTCTGAATGGAATGCTCTACTTCTACTTTGGATTGTAAAGGAACATGGTAATAGACTTTCTGAATCAATAACTTTCTGAATTATTTCCCCCAAAAAATATTTCTCTTTGGTTAAACTTCTAACAATAATCCAGGTCCTCAGAACTTTGATTTGTTGCTATTTAAAAAGAAACATTTAGTTCATCTTCTTTTCTTGTCCTAAGAGATATTACTTACCCCTGAATCACTACCACAAACACCCTTGCCCCTAAGAACAACTTGAATAGTAGATGATGATCAACAAATGCATCTGGAATAGCGTAGAGGGACACCTCTGAGTTGAACATTCAACCTGGAGCTCAGTTCTCTGGGAAATACCTTGAAAATGCCTGACCTGTGACCACCTGGCATGTGCCTCAGTCAGCTCTCTTTTTGGGTTAGGCATAGCTTGACTTATGGGAGGGTGTGTAAATGGCAGTAAGCCAGACTGAGGAAGTAGACAAACAATGGACTCTGGTATTCCTTTTGTAGCAACCACAGCAAGTACTGTAGCATGTACTTTGCACATGGTCACATCTTTCATGGTGGTATAAATCTGTAGGGTCTATCTTTAAGTGGTCATTAACAAAAAGCTGGTGCTTTCCCAGAAGTGAAGGAATCTGGTAATATGATACCTATTAGTTAGATAATCAAAGCTTTAAAGGACAATTCATACTCTGTGTGGCCTTAGGAACTTACAGGAAACACATTTTTGAGACCTGACCGATAGAAGTTTCTGAAATCATGGAAATGTTCTGTACATCATCTGTCCAATATGAATATGAGCTTGAGATATGGCTAGCCTGATAGAAAAACTAAATTTAAAGTTTAAACTTTATTGAAAGGCATGTAATTTGAATTAAAATGTAAATACCAAAATGTAGCTCACTTACTGTATGGAACAAAGCAGTTTTAGAGGTGTCACACAAAAGTCACCAAGAGTTTTTATACAATTCTTATTTTTCTCAAATGACATAAGCATGTGTACTAATATTCATGATATATAATTGCAAAAACAGTGTAAATTATAAATAAATCTATTGTTTACCAGTTGAAACTATATCAAGCTTAGTCTAGTTAATCTAAATGTTTTTCTATGTTATAGTTTTATAAGAAGGAAAAATATTAAAAGGAGATAGTCAAATGCCTCTGTACACCACAATCAGCATGTATTCGCATTATAACTGAAATCCACAGGAAAACCCAGAATGGAGAACCAAAGATACCACCAGTGACACAGCAACAAAAACACTCAGAAGTATTTGTTGGAGAGGGAAGATGTGAAGGGTTGAAGAAAACTGCTATTCAAAATATGAGACACATGATTCAACAATCAGCTAAAGTGTAAAGCTGATAAATTTTAAAATGTATTTTTTCAGAACAGTAGAATGCAACCACAGGACACGATAATTCTGAAGCTTCAAGGGCCCTTAAACATTATCCACATCAAACTATACTGCAGATATACAAATATGTGATCTGAAGCCCAGAGGAGTAAAAAGATCTCCATGTCCCTGAGATAATTAAGCTTGGTCCCATATCTCCCAGTTTTCACTCTTTCCATTAGGACTTTCTCTCATTTCTGCTGTGCACAGACTGATTCTTGAACAGATAGAGCTCCATATCCATCCTCATTTTACCCAACCTCTGGTGAGTAGAAAATAAAGCACATTTAACCATGATACTCCGGTTGATACAAAAATTCCCTTCACTAACATGGCATTCCTAAAGACCATGCAACTCACATAGTTCACCAAACACATGTGAAAAAGGAAATTATAAAGAGGCTGTTTTACATGGAGAAGGTTTTGAATTTAATGTGCCTTCTCTTATAGAAGCTGCTTGCACTGGACTAGAAGATATATGGGTTTAAGAGAGACAGTTCCAAGTTTCATAGCAAATAAATACTCATATTATGCTTTTGATGACTCAATGGGGCAATGAGACAATATTATGATGACAGCTAGTGATTACTGATAAAAAACAAAATTGTCATGTTCTTTTACAGCTAAAACTTAGATATCATCTAGCTCAAAACTCTCATTTTGCAGGCGAAAAAAACAGAGATGGTAGATGTAAGTGACTTGACCTAAGTCACAGATCTAGGAGGAGAGCTGGATTTGAGGCAGGATTCTTATCTCCAGGCTCAGCACTTCTGATTAATCTAGAAATCAGCATAAAATAGATGCCTACAAATCATAAAATGAGAAATAAAGAGACAATTATTCTGCCCATGTCATGGTTTTCAAAAACTCTGTTATTTTCAGTTTGAGTTGTATTTTGACATAAGATTTCCCAAGGCTTTGTTTGTAATTTTGTGGAGTACTGATAGAAGAAAATTATGTTTCAGGAGCTACGGGAAAGATCAAGAAATAAATTTGCTTTATTGCCTGGATTTTATAAATTTTCTCAGTTCTCAGATAATCTCCTACAGATAAATGCCACACTACTGCTGATAAAAGAAAAAGATAAATAACACTGCACATTTTAAATGTCATGTACTTTGAATTTTGTACTGTGCTCTTATAAATGAATCCATAAGAGAAAAAGAAAACGCTAAATAAATACAGCATGATGAGTCTTACATTCTGGTGCTGCCGGTCTTGTTGATGATAACCGATTTTCCTGTTTGATCCACATTATGATCCAATCCAAAGTAAGCTGCCACCCGATGAACCAGCATCCTCTGATATGATGACATCTGAGGGAACTTTTTATAATGGTTACTGGAACAGAGTTAAAATAGACAGTGGCATCAGCATTTTCATTTCTCATCCAAAGTACCTTTTACAGGTATCTGCATGAAATTATTACTCTTTCATCCAAATCACTAAGCATGTTTCATTTCTGGAAGCACTTACTGTCCTTACTTCCAGATAAATTTTGCCCTCACTATAGATTTATTGATTAAGCCACAATAAGTCTCATTCTTTCATAGCTGCACATTTCTCTTGCCAAAGAGAACTTAATGTCTGTTGGAGAGTATTCTATTTTAGTCCGTGATACCTTATCAATGGAGCCAGGCAGAGGGCAAATGATTTGACACAATACCCCATTGCAGACGCCTATCTGGATCTGTGTTATTGCTGGATTTACACTGAAAGCAGCACAATTATTTCCAGGCATAACTGACTGCAGCCAGCTGGAGCCCATTAAAAAACTATAATAAAAATGAAAAGGGTCGCTTCTTGTTACAGCTACTCTATGCTAATCAGTGGCCCCCTGTTTATAGCCATTTTGTCAGGAATTTAACAAGCAGGAGCACACATGGTCCAAGAAACAATTCTCATCAACACATGACTCCCAATTCCAATAACGTATCCATCTAACAAATCAAGAAACGTATTAAAGAATGCTTTATCTATCCCTGAATCTTTCCAGAATGAATAATTTAACCAAAATACGGAACTAAGACATGTCATAAAACTGGCCACCATTGCAATTTAACATACTTGTTGTCACCAATGAAATCAATAATTTCCTGCTCCATTTTCAAGAGAATCATCCTGTCCCTGTAAAATAAATGTTGAAATGAAAAGTTTTATGTATTTTCAGTTTCCCAAGGATAGACACAGTTTTTTAAAAGTATGGAAAGGAACATAAAAATGTATGTGATTAGAAATTTATGCCTAAGTTTTTTCTTTTCTTTTTAAGTATGCTGATCATTTTATCTATACACTATTTCATTTAAGGGTTATTTTTATTAGTGTATGTCCACATGGCAGAATAGTGCTTATTCATTTTGAGAAATTGGTGTCTGGCTCGTTTTCAATCCCTTAACACCCTTTCCATTCTCTCCCATCCAACCTTGAGCCCCTTTTCTATGTCCAAGAGTTTAAGTTCCAGTTTCCTATCCTGGAGATTATTTTTATCTCAGTTGTTAAGTATTGTATAATACAGTATCTAAATTTTGTGGTCATAATGTTAATAACACCATGTATGTTATTAGGATGGTAAAACACAATAAATATATTTTAAATTAACAGGAAACTGGAACAAAGCAAAGCACAAGTGTTGACTATAGAAAACTATATAACTACATGAAAACACAATCGGCTTACTAAAAATTGGTGATATTCATTATCTATTTCTTTTCATTCAGTATCTTTCTGTGACTAAGAACACAAAGCTCATAAACTCTAATGTACTCATTGAGTGACTAGCCAGGAAATAAGATTGTCTGTAAACAACAAACAGGCAAACTATTAACAGGAATAAAAAGAAAGGAGACAGTTTAAGAAGTCAGAGAAGGCATCTCCTTTTCACAACTGCCTTCTTAAACTTGTTTGGTTAATAACTCTCCAATATTCTGTTTGCTCTAAAAATAAACATTTACTTAATAATTTACCTGGAATTATTCTTTAAAGTGTTAATCAAAAACTCGTGTAAGTCTATGCCTGTAGAATCTGTATATTCTTGACTGCAATCTGAAACAAATAGCAGAGCAATGCTGTCAGAAATGATGATGGGAAGGTTTAGTAGAAAATATTTTCCTGACCTTTCTCATTTCCCACCTGCTCAGGTAAATTTTAGATGAAGTTATTGATACAAAAATAGATATTTCAAACTAGCGACCTGACAGTATCTAATCAAAATAAAAATGAAATTTGAAGATTGAAATGATCTTGACTGTGGAAGATCCAAATGTCACAGGAGGGGAAGTGGACACAGGCTGGGGCTGGGGGTTGAGTCAGATATCATGTGTTTACTCTGCAGGGCAAATCAGCCAGGGCCCAGCCTTCACAGGCCAGGCACTCCAAGCACGAGTGAAAGCCCTAGAGTTTGAGATCCCATTGACACTGCTTCCTCTTAAAACAAAGAAAGTAAAAGTAAATTTTCTTTTGTATTGGTATTAATTTACCTATTAATCAGTACAAAACACAGGAGGGCACTAAATATTTCCACATCTTTCAGATCTCCTGATGTTGGATAAAGCTTCATTCCTGGAACTGTTTGAGAAATCTGAACTTCTTTATTTTTGTTGTGTGCACCTGGAGTTCCAGATACTTAATTGCTTAAGCAACCATTATGTGTAAAAATTCGGTCACAGATTATGATATTAGGAATAATTATTATTCCTTAACTTAATGCTTTCTTAGTTTCATTTTAGAAACTGTGTCAAAAGGCTCTTTATTTATGACACACTTCATGCCAATTTAAATTAGTTTTATTTTGTATAGTGTTATATACGGCAGTAATTTATGGTGGCTGGATGATAGGTTCGCAGTTTTAGAAAAACAATTTTGGGGGGAAATCTGTTTATTGAAGTAGAGTTTGTATTTTTAAAATGAGAAATTATTTGCAGTATATAGACATAGAGACCAAAATCATCTGTAAAATGCCAATCAGGTGCCAATGACATATACGTCTGTGCTTTAGAGACCATATAATTTATACAGGGGATATTGTTAACCCAGGTGCTGTCATCTTTTAAAATAAACATAAGAGTTAAGACATCAAACTGTGTATTAGCCCTGTTTATCTATCCAAATAAACTGGTCTAGTAAACTTAAGTTCGAGAACAAATTTATATTTATTCTTCTGAACCAACTTGCAATTGAAAACAGGAGATGCAAGTTTGAATCCAAAGAAGCATGTGACCCTAAAAATAACCTGTTTAGCTGCACAGATAATGGACCATGAACAAAAAGAAAATCAAGTTCACATGTTTTACAAACACACAGCTGTACCAGTATAAAATTATATGCAGTTGCTGGAAGGTGATCTGTATGTGCACTCTCTAGGGGACTCTGGGACTACATAGGAGTTCAAACTGAGTAAATCGAGGAAGTATTTTCACATTCACCTTTTGATAACATTCTGATCTTGGATTTTTCAGAGGATTTATCTTTGTTTTTATCCTTTTCTTTTTCTCTTTCAGAGTCATCTTTCCTAGATTTTTCCTCCTCTTGCAGGCTGGGAAAACTGGAAAGCTGTAAATGAATTGATTCCTGTTGGGGAAAAAATATAATAATTTAGGGCCAGATTTAATTATCTCTGTCTGGTTTCCATTTTGCATAGAAGTTATTAATAACAAGAAAATGAAAGCCAGGTGCAGATTTTTTTCTTAAATGGTAAAAAATTAAACCTGTCAGAAAATAATTGCCCTTTAAGGTGAATTGAACTTCAGGAGTCAATGGGAGGTCAGGAGAAACACCTAGCACTGAAACTTTGGTTCATGAATATTAATCTTAACTAAGTTAAGTTCATGTAGATCACAACTTCTGTTTTTCCTACAGGTTTATTTTTAAACAGCTAAGAGAAATTCCTCTATCAGGAAGATCGCATCAGAGCACCTGTCATGTTTAAAGAAGGCTCCTGCAGTATATTTCTATCCTCCTTATAGGGAGAAACTGGCACAAACACAGACAGATTTTATGAATTATAATCACAGATAAAACAGATGTAAAGAAAGCCCACAATAGCCAACTTATAATATAAAATCTATTTTACCGCTGTGTCAACAGTGATTTCTCCTACTATGAAATACCAAAGCATATAATTATAGGAATCTCCAAGATGGATTATTGTAATTGTTTATAAATGCATTGAGAAATCATTTTAATGTATAATTATAATAAGCATTGACTTTTAGAGAATATAGCAAGTAAAAATGTAATTTTTGTAAATTATACAAAATATTTAATATAGTTCATGTTAATATTAGTTCTTTCCAAAATATGAGTCTTTCAAACCAATATGTGCAATAAGATTGAACTTTTATATTAGAGTAAGGTATACTTTTATATTTATTTATTTTGTGCTAAAAGAGATCATTTTTATTAATTCACATATATTAGCCAATTGTTTGACACTATGTTTACTGTTTGGAAGAAGAATGAGCCAAATCATGTTTTTTAGGTTTTTTTTTTTAACCTACGCTATGATTAAAACTATGACAAATTACACAAGATCAAGCCCACTTATTCTTATGTAACAGATCACTTGATGGGGAAACTGTCTTCTCGTGATATTAAAATTTATGACGTCTGGGAAAAATATTCCCAGTGACTAATAGTGTCTCTCGTGGAAAACTAAGCTGATGTTCCCTCCACATGTGACTCGAGTGATGCCTGTACATCCTCCAAGTGTGACCATTTTGGGATTTATAAGAGTTCTCAGTAAATCTGGTGAACAGGTGTACAACAAAAGCTCTGAAGCCAACTCTCTTTTGGTAGGGAGATTGGAGTAGAAGAGAGGGTCTCCACTGTGAACTCCTGGCTAGAACAAAGTTATCATTCAGAGAGAAAAACCCTCACACTACAGAGGATGAAATAAAACATATTCTAATCACAAGTATTTATCTAAGCTGGGTTTTCTGACTTTTACATATTTCCTGGGGGTAGACATATGTATAAAATATGTAAAAATGAATGTAATTTGATTATAGAGTTTTGCATCACGTGATCTGGGTAGAAATGCCTTCATCTGTAAAGGTTCGGGCAGGTTCTAGTGCTATGACTTGCTTCTGATTGCTCAGAGAAACCTTGGCCTGAACATTTCTGGACAAGAAAAGATGGCAAGGGGCTGTGGTGGGGGAAAAATCAATTCATTGACCAGAGGGTTAAGTGTAGGTAACCAGGCCATGAAAGTTGTCTCATTGCTTCTTCAAAATGAACTGAGCCCTCTCGATTCTGTAAATTTGAATGTAAGATTCAAGTGGCTTGGATACATATATCACAAAGGCAAGAGCGGAGGCTACAAGGACATCGCTCTGAAAGAATGTACACACTGATGCCATGTGTTGACAAATAGTATTCTCAGAAAAAAAATCCTACCTTTTATATACATAAATATACATTATGGTGTTGAAAGAACACACAAAAGTGCTTTAGAGTTGGTAAAAAACAATCTGTAATTTTTTAATATTTTTATTGATATGCTCGATAATAAAATACAAGTGTTAATAAATACATTGATACAGGATAAGTTTATATCCAACAACAGTAAAAGAGTGATTCAAATTGCAGCAATACACTGATAGGTAAATACTATGACATTAGAAAAGCAAACTTCCTTTAACTTAAGGACAGACTGAATCATTGGGTATGGGGTCTGAGATCAAGTAATACAGGTAGCAAGAGTTTTTCCCACACAGGAAAATGAAGGCAGTTTTCCAAATACTGTGAATATACAAACACCGGGAAAGCGATACAATCCACATACTGTGTACTTCTGCCATTGTTCTCTGAGATTCAGTCCACACATTTTGTAACTGCCGGTGGTATCTAATGAAGGCATTGCATATAAGCTCAAAGATCTGCTTCTTTATTCTCTAAAAAGTAGCTTGGCCACTTGCTTATATGTGTGCCTTTTCTATCAGCCCCCTGTTCCCACCACTCCTTAGCTAGCCAAAGAAAAGCTCGTAGGCTCTAATTCTCTCCTACAAAGTTTGTCTTGCAGTCTGAGCTTTGAACCAACAGGAACAAAGCATTATTTGCATCTTATTTCTGTGCACCAATTATCTGGAGAAACTAGACTTAGGTCCAGGTTGGGCACTATGATACAGATGATCTCTTAGAATGTCTCATGCTGTGCCTTGTCAACTGGGACAAAAAGCAGATTAAGTCTATAGAAGGCTGTCCTCCTCTGCCTCACAGTAGAAGTGGGGGACAGCTAGGGTATTACTTCTCCCAGGTCTGTCATTCTGCAGAGTTAACATGCATCATGTGCAGTACATTACAAGCCATCAATCAACATTGAATAATACAAGCCATGATCTTTCACATTATTCCTCCTTTTCAATCTCCATTAAAAATAGAAGCACAGATAAAATGCTGAAGAAAAGCCACACGTTCTCAGAGCCCAAGTAAAAGAAAGCATGTGTAGAAAGCATAGTCCTAGCTACTGAATGATAGCCTGTCCATGCCTTGTGACATGAGTGGCACGTTAGGAAAATGAGACTAGCAAAAAAATACTCATAGGACAAAAATCCATAAAGAATTTATTTTTGGTCCTTTTAAAGAAAGTGCTCTCAATGCTCCCTGTATTGATGAATTGTTAAGAGAATTTAGTGTATTTCAATTAAAGTAAAAAGAGAAAAGCAAAATAAACCAAACAAAAATAATGATATCTTACTCAAATTTCCATCTCCTGGGCTCAAATAAATCTAAAATGATTTCTAGACAATGGCTTCTGTCTTGACTGTGTCCAGCCTTTAATAAAATGAGAAAACTTTAGCAGCAAGACTATTTTTATAATGGCTAATGTAATGCCAACATGGCAAGCAAAAAGAAACACGATGTGAAGTTTTCTATTTTGTCAAAGAAGAGTTTTGTTTGAATTTAAATTTTTAGTCAAATAATCTTGCTGAAAGGAGCAAAAATAAAGTTAAGTTTATACAGTGATATATTAATAGCTTTAATAAATCACCATAATCTTAGATTCACTTCTGGACAATTTTTGCAGTATTGAGCAGTCTCCACCTAAGGCCATAAAATCATTTCTCCAAAGTTCAATGCACCTTATTCACTATTTCTTAAGTTTCATATGAGTCATCAGCTGTTTCTTATAGGCAAGTGCATTTTGGGGAGCTGAGAGGTAAGACGTCTCCAACAAGGAAGGAGACAGATACTTAGGATTATATTTGGTTCAACCTTATCAAAAGAGAGCCTTTGAGGAAGTTTAGCACTACTGTGCTTACTTTTTATTTAAATTTTAATCTAAATTCTTTTGAATTCCTTTTCGTTTGCAGTTTTCAGAGAGTCTGGAAAAAAACAAACGTAATACTCTGTGATAAACTTTTAAAGTATTTAGAATGTCTCATAAATAGGGGTGAAACAAGAAAACTTTCTCGCTTCAATTATATTTTTCTCCCCCAAAGCATCATTTAGCCAAATTAATCATGCACACGGCTACGGATCTGGCTCATGCAGTTAATGATAACGACAGGGGTTATACCTGATCCTGAAGACTTTCGCCTCCTGGTCTGGCCGACTCCTCACACACAGCAAGACTGCGAGTCAGTTTACCTTTCCCTGCTCCTGACTGGGATGGAGGAAGAAAGGGTGGGGGGGGAGAAAATAAAGAAAACGAACGAAAACATTCTCAGACCGTCAAATCATCTCCAGATTTACTTGACACTCTCAAGTCATACTTTCAAAACCAAGCAGCAAGTCTGCTGCCCCGTGCTATCTGCATGGGTGAAAAGCTCCAGAAGGCTTTGCTGACGGTGACGGAAGCAGAGGAGAATGTGAAGGGATGAATTTAAGCGCACTGTGCCCATCACACTGGGAACATATGAAGAATGATTTGTGCCGATTTTGTGAAAATATCGGGAGAAAAAACTGAGAAAATTAACTTTTACTAAAATAATTGTGGAGGGGCTTTGACTAAGAATATGATTCAAAGGAAAGAATGGGTACTAAAGAGCAGAACCTATGTACTTTAAGGGAGAAATCAGTTAGTGAGACTAAAACATCTATTTCAAATCTGACTTAAAATAAGAACAAAATAAGTGGCTATTTGTTTGGTCAAATCTCCAAATATGAAAATAGGACCAAACACATACACATTTGCATCTATTCAAACTCTAAGTGTACTGGTTTAAAAGTATATAGAGCAAGACAACACATATTCCTGAACACAATCATATTCAAAATAGCACAGGACCTACTACAATATATGCACACAATCATCTGAATTCTAAGCGAACCCCTTAACTCTGATATGAAATATGCACTTCATATCCATCATATGGTGGTCTATGGAGCATCCCAAGAACCTTACCTTAGATTTTCTTCTCTCTTGATTCTGAGCTGCCAGCCGCCGCTGTATGTTAGAAATAAAATAAACAGTAAAAGGATAGATAAGTGTGTGTGGGGGGGGGATCACTGTTGTTTATAATGGAGAAATAATAACAGAAGCAAGAGATTATAAATACTAGGAAGGGTTCCTCCTGCTCTCCCTTCACAGAACTGTGGCCTTTTTTCCCCACCTAACAAATACCCTACAAACACAGTAGAAAACCAGCCTTGAAGGTTCTGTCTGCTAGCTATTGGTATACAAAAAATGGTCAATATTTTTGTATTTAGTTCAAAGAAAATCCATACTAACATCCTATTTGCAAGTTCCATTTATGTTCCCTCTATCAAACCTCTTTATCTTGTAAGTCATAGTTTATTTAATCACAGGACACTTTCCTGCTTCAAGCACTTGAATCCCCCACCCCCAATCCACCTTCCAGTATTCTGACTCTTCAGCTACTTTCCCGAGGCTTAGGCTTGTTGGAATGGAAGATGTAAACTGTAATATTCTCATGAAGGTTGAAAGAACTCGTGTTTGCCCTTTTTAGACAAAGATGAGTTGAGTTTCTATCTTCTCATGAAATAGCAAATCTATTTTAAAAATTCAACCTAAGAGTTCCTTTTGAGATCCTGAACTGACAGTTCTAGGTGAGCTAGCAACTGGTAGTGGGACACCATGGACAAATTCAGTACATGAATTTCTTTTAGATAATTTTCATTTTAAAAGACAGTTCAGAGTATGGTTCAGGAAAAAAGACTAATAATTGAAAAAATGAGAGAATTATCATTATAGATTCACTGGTTATTTAGTCAAGCCCTTTAAAAATAAAAACAAAATTCAAAGTATTCTAGAAATAAAGGAAGGGAATGGCACATAGTGGCATGAGGAGAAGGGTCTCTCCAGGCTTACCTGCAGCTCCAGCTTCTCCTCTTCATCCAGACTTTCTGATTTAACTATGCCGTTCTCCGGAGTGGCAGCCTCCTGCTCAGTCCTTCCTTCCTCCACGATAGCCTGGTTCAGGTCTCCTTGTTCAGACATCCTCACAGATGCAAATTAAAACAAAGTCTTCTGCCCTGGAGGTTAAGATAGCAGAACATAAAGGCAATGCAGGTGAAAAATCTAAAACTATTCCTGCAATTCATGTCTTCTTTTGTACTCAAGTTCAAATGAGCAACTCAGGCATTCTTACCAATTTTGTACAAAAAGAATGAAATGAGATGGAATCAAGTCCCCAAGACGCATGTGAGTGGCAAACGGGGCTGCCCCCTGTATGCACACTTGTGATACGCCTTGCAGTCAGAGTGGATCAAGAAATGTTAAACAGAGACATGTATCTTCCACACAGTTTCCAGCCCATTTCCCCCTACAAAGTAGAGAAAGGAAATGAGGATATTGCTCCAACTCTTGAACAGATGTCCTTCAACTTCTGAGTCAAAAGATGGTACTGATGTTCCTGAGCATCTCTAGGAGGACTTAAAGATAGTTTTGAAGTTTCAACCATAGACTTACTTCCCTAGGTAAGAGGAAGACAGCAGACTGTACATGGGGCAAAAATCAGCTGGAGAGGTAATATTTCAGTATAAATATGAGATCTACTGTTGGCAATAAACCTTTCAGGGTCAACATTTCCAGTCTTCAAACTGACAGCTCCATTATTAAAAGCACAGGCCTCTCTCAGACTCTTGTCAGCTGCTCCTGCTGCAAAATTTTGCAGCAGGAAGCCCTTGGCAGGCAGCTCTAATGAAGCTACTGCCACTGAATTACAGTACTTCTGGCTCACAATAGACTACTATACACACACTGGAAATGGCGTTTCAAAGTTAAAGTCTATTATTATTATTTTTTCTTCCCTACCTCCTTAAAATCCCTGACACTTCTCCTTCTGAATTGCTGTCAAATGAAGCTCGTGAATAATTTAATATTTAATTCTCCCTCATTTTTAAACTATGAGGAAGAAAGGAAAGGAGAGAGGGAGGAAGGAAGGAAGGAAGGAAGGAAGGGAGAGGCAAACAATAATGTTAGAAAGGAGGGAGAAAGGGACTGAAAAGGAGAGAGAGAAACACTGAAGCTTAGAAAGTCAACTCTTTCTCAAAAATTCCCAACCAATAACTGTTCTATTACCAGTCACTACAATGGTAATTATTATTGAACAAATCACTGCTTTGATGTTTTTTGAGGCTAGTTAATTGCCATTTACTAAGCTGGAAACTTTATTTCCAACTGCAAATAAGAAACAAGAGAAAAATTGACACCATAGCAATTTTTATTGCAAATGTGCTAAAATCTACCATGACAGAACAGATGGTATGTAATGATATCTTTAAAATACACAGGCTCATTCGGCAAAGGATTGTGGGAATGTAAAAGGAAAAGTTTTCCCAAAGGACAATGCTTTTGTCTGAGAGTGAGTAGTGAGCAATGCTTCCAAGTTTGGGAAGGTTTTACCAGTGCATTTTTCTCAAATTTTAGTGGCACTCAGTACATGTGGTTAACAAGATTTAAAAATTCGTTTCCAAGGGCAAACAGCTCATTTCTCTACATTTCGAGTAAAGGGAGGAGAAAGGACTTCTTGTTGCCCTAGGTCATTTTTGAGAGTGTTTCAATAAAGCAGATTGCGACCAGATTCAAAATAGACGAACAAACCGAGTTCTGATTTTCCAAACTACAAGCCAAGTAAGTCCCTGCTTTTGATCATTTCCAGTGTAGCCAGAGTCAATGAACTATTCTACACAAACAGGCAAACACACATGTATGAAATAATTATAAAATACAGATAAGACAACAACCAGAGGAGACCTTTACCTTTCACGCAGAGTCCCTGCTGTAGGTCTTGGCGACTTACTCGCGGCTTCTGTCGTCCTGCACCGGGAAAATCCACACAAATGATCAGAGGCAGCTGGAGTCCCATGTCCCCATTAACAGTGCAGAATGCCCATCTCCATGCAGCTCCCTTACACACTTTGACACATCATCGTCAACCTGAAAAAAGACGAAAAGTAAATAATAATAATTGCAATAAACATGGTAGGGCGAAGGGCAAAAAAGACTGGGATTCTAAGACTAACGACCAGCTTCCAGCAAATCACGTTCACAGCTCAATTCAGTTCCACCTGTCTCAAGCTGCCTGCTTCTTCTCTAATGAAGGCTACAGCCGGCTGTTCAAGTCAGAGCGGCACCTACGCAAGGAGCTAAAATTAACAATTGCATTATGCACCGAAGATTACTCACTTCAATTTTAACCTTTTTTAGTGAAATCTCGCACTTTGTATTTTTTTTTTTAAAAAAACAAGCTTGTGTGTTTGCCTCAATGAGAATCAAGATCACCTATGAGCAAGTCTTGCCTTTTTTTAAACAAAGCCTTTGTCTTAATTATAGATTAATATTATACACTTTAACTCTATTTCTGTGACTGTTTCTTTATGAAAGTTACCTTAATGAAGAATATTTAAAGGTTTTGATTTAGTGAGCCATTATCTATAAAGTTTTTAAAAATAAGACAGGATACAAGAAAAGTTTCATGATGGTATGGCTGAGGGAGCTCTTTTTTTTCCACTTACAGTTTGGGAAGAATATCTAATATTCGTGCTGCACGGTGAACGCAATTTATCTATATCCCTCCCTCCCATCAGGAGCCAGCTGAGCATTCTGTTTGACAGTAAAGAAACATTGTCAGAGGGATTCAACAGATTTGTAAGCTCCTAGCCTGCTGAAAACAATCCATGCTATAATATGTACTTTCTTTTTCTCACAACTCCTACAGGAGCCGTGGCAAAGACAGCTTGAATGCAAACACAGAGACGGGCTCCTAATAACATTTGCCAAAACCAAGCTGTATTTCTTTCTCTTTTGCTGTAACTCTACTTGAGTGCATACCAATAGCTCCAGTAACACACACACTCACCTCTTCTGTCATTTTCCAGTCTATGAAAATACTAAGGGCATCCCAGTTGTTTTCCCTGAAGATTGAAAACTCTCCTTCTCCTCCTAGCCACTCCCCCCACCAAGTTTAAATGAGCAAGGCTGATTCGTCACAGGATATTACTATGGCTATATTAACAACATATTGAGCTGCAAAGCCATTTGTTGAGCGAGAGGAATATAACTGTCGAAAATTCAATCATTTATGTAATCAAAACTTTCTGGATTTATTTACATTTAATGAATGGATATCCAGCCTTAAAATATAGATCTTCGGTTGTCAGAAGCCATCACTTCTTGAGAGATAAACTAACATGAATTTAGAGCAAAATACATTGCTAATCAGCAGTGATTTTAATTTTTAAAATTTTAGCCAGTTTTACCAAAGTTACTATAGCTGACAATATTAAATATAGACTACCACCTCTTAAAATTATGATCTACTTAGTTGACAAGCCCATTATCTAACATGTCCTAAAATAAAAAGCGATCACATACAGAATTACCAAATGCTTTTTGGATTCTGTTTTCCTTTTCCCAAGTTGGATGAAGTTGTCAACAATTATTGCAAACCTTTTGCCTTTTCCTGACTCTCATATTTGTACAGGGAATCTAATCCACCAGGAGAATAGCAGTGCAGCTTCACAGAAGCCTTAGATACATTATTCCAGCTTCAGTAGGAGGATGCAAGATATAATTCTTCCCATGAAGAAAGAACAAACTGATATTCACGTAACTAACTCAAGCGCTAACAGCCTGGATATATGGGTGTGCGTAATTACCAGGACACATTTTGAAATAGCACTGAGCTCTAAAGTCAGCGAGGTATTATTCTTGCATGCCTGAATCATAAAGTCATCATCCACCAAGATAAAAGAGAATATGGGCATATGGGAGTGAGCAGAGATGAACATATGGATCACAAATATTTTTGTAACTGATTAAAATTGTTCTCTTTGCTAAGAATGCTGTGCCAGGAAATCAGCCCTACTCCAGTTTCTGTTCTCCAAATTAACCCCACTCTTCCATTGCCATTTAATCTGTCTGTTTCAAGCTTTATCATTTTCACAAAGAACACAGACTATATATAACAAAAATTTTCTGCAACACTTTGTTAACTACTCTAATTTTTAATTTTTATAGTTGGAATGATGGAAAAAGAAGGAGGAGACTGTGTACAAATGGATCAAATAGAAGTTATTCTAGTTGTTCTGGTGAAAATAGTAATTTAACCATAATTGTGGGGGCATTATGTAGCTATTCACAATGAAGAAAATGACTACGATAATCACCACTTCATATCATAGTTACATTGTTTCTTATTATTTTAGATTTGAAATAAGAGCAAGTAGGACTGTGGGTATGCAGAAAAGGGAAAGACAAGAAGGGCATAAGGAAAGCACACACATTCTGTCTTCCATCACCAACAACAAACTATGACCTCATTGTGTGTGCATGTTATGTGTGTGCGCACATGAATGCATCTGTATATGTTACATCCTGTATATTAATCACTGCACTGTCATGTAATCAAAGAAAGATTAACATTTGGTTCACATTTCAGCAGGAATTTAGTTCTCAGGGCACATCTAAATCTAAAATCAAAGTTGAACTCTATTTACAAGTAGCAAGAGTCACTTTGTTCATCACCTTCTCCACATTACATTAAACATTAACAGAGATGACTAATCTTCTCCCAAATCAATATAGATTCTTTATAATAAAACAACACAGTCAAGCTTTACTTATTTGGATGGTTCAGATGTTTCTCCCCTGTGCACCGTCCCTTCCTTTTTAGCTGGTCACAGTACTGCAAATTAAAACCACTTGCGTATTGTAGCAAGAGTAGTGCTGTGTCAATTTGCCACATAAGGTATATAAATACTGTGAAGTTATATAAACTAAAATGCAACACATTCTCAAAGCACTTGATTTCAAAAAAGATTTGAAGATATTTGGAGGCAGTAAAAATTTTTGAAATGTAATCCTACAGAAATAAGGGGCACAATTAACATCTCCATATACTACAATAAAATTTTTAAAAAGAATAAGAATTGAGAGGCACAACAGTATGAACTGAGAGCATAGATCAGTATATTTACTTTAGCAAGTCTAAAATTTTCCCAAGGTGACAAAAATATCAATGAGAAATTTTCACATAAATTTTATGTCCCAAAGTTTTGTCCTATACAAGTACAAGAGAAATTCAACCAGGAACATTGCCTTTTAAACATCTTTTGATTTGCCAAATACGCAGACATTCTATGGGCTTCTTGAGGTGGCATTTAAATGACAAAATTACCAGAAAGCTATTTCAGAGGAAGAATTTAGGAGGAGAAACATCCTCTGGTTAAGAAATGGAACTAGGATTTTTAGGGAATTGAAATATTATATTTTACATCCACATTCTTAGTTATGCTTGATCTAAAGGCCAGGTAGTTTAAAACAGAGTACCTCATATATAGACCTTCACCTTTTTTTCTTTAACTATAGTAATCCAGATAGAAAAGTAACCTAGCTCTACATTTAGCAGAATTCCAGCAATGAGAAGAATGCATGCAAAGCTTTGAACATGAAAGCAGCTCCACAATAACAGGAGTGGCTTTAAAACTAAGGGAGGTCTGATATCAGTGAAAAACTGCAGAGAAAAATGGTCACATGCCAGTGTTTCACTCCCCCTTTCTTTTAAGGAGTTTGCACTGAGCCTCTCCTAGATACAAAGAGAGTTTATAATATGACATAATGTTTAGACCAGATAACATACTCTCAATTTGATTTTTTTTCCTTCCTGAATATAGTTTAAATACAAAATAAACAATAAAAAATATTTTGTTAAATGTATTCCCCAAAATAAGAGAAAATGATAGTACAAGAGGGAAAACTAATACTCTGCTTCTAAAATTTTCCTCTGATACACTGATAACATATACATACATGTACAGATTAATTCTATGGCTGTAATCTGCTATGATCGGTATTTGTATTGCATAGGTACCCAATAAATTGTCATATTAGCAGTCTTGTTTATAAGTTTTGCTATTTATCTATACAATGTGCATTCTGTAAGAATAATGAGGTTAGGTAGGGGAATATGATGTTCAGAGAATATTTTCACCTCTATTAGTACCAATGCATGTGGAGTCATTGTGCTCTCAGCAAAGGAGAATAACAAACATCATTTCTCACTGAAAAAGACAATTCTATAAATATTTTCCCCCAAAATCTTACTCTGCTCAAGATCTAGGTAAAGTGATCTGGATGAGAGAGCTGCATGGAATGGAACAACTGGTTGGTAGCTGTGTCATTGCTGTGGACTAGTGTTTTTTATATATTTTTTGTTGCAGATAAGGAGAAACATCTGGCCAAACCGATGCCACAGAGACTGGGGTCCATGACACAGCTCTCATGTAGGAAATGAACTGAGACTCTTGCAGCTTTGACCACTGTAACTAGTCCAGAGGTTTTGAAATGGCCTCAGGTTTTATAATTCATGCAGTATAATCACCACCTTAGGTTTCCAACACAATTCTATTCAGAGACAATGCATGATTTATCCGTACATGAGATGCTGTCATCAACTCTTAACCAGGTGTAAGTTTTTTAAAAAGTGTAAATATACAGAGGACCACTGTAAAGAATCTTGCGATGAGCTAATCTGCTATCATTCTATCCAGTGATTTAGACAAGATCTACCACTGTATAGCTGCAAAACTGTGTCAAAAACAGTTATTTTGACTTAGGAATTGTAGTTCTTTTCAATTACTCTTTTTCCTGTAGTAATGTCTCTAACAGAAATCTAATAGACTTTTAGACCTACTATCTATCGTCTTTCCTCAAAAGTGAACCCACAAATATTACCTAGAAACTGCATGAGCATATTTTCTGTTGATGGCGACTGTCCCTTCCTTGATCTTATCCCAAAAACTTCACTTCATGGACATATTTGGACTTCCAGACACTTTGTTCAGTCTGTTTCTGAAAATTCTGAAATCCCATAAACCATAGCAACAAGAGCACCCTAATTTTGTCTGCTAGCTATCTATCCAATTTTCTCCTCCTAC